CTCTGTCAATGAGTAAAGCGATTTTATTTCCACTACTTTTGGCAAGCAGTGGCACCGTACCAGCCCAGTGTTCTTTGCTTTTCCGAAGCCTTCACTGCCTTTTTTTTTTTTTTTATTATAACGTCAACGAGCTAGAAATTGTAATTGTCGCCAGTTGTTTAATGAGAGGATGCAGGACGATGGTCGGTTTTGGCAGATCCGAAACGGACCTCCTGAAACTTCAGTGGTGGATTCCATGAATGATTGCTACAAGCATGCATCCAATTTTTGGCTGCCCCCGGCGCTGTTTCATCTCTTACAGTGGCAGGATGATTATCTGCACGAAATTCTAGCTCTGCGCACCATTATTTTAGCCTCAGTGCGGGCAGCCATGGAGAGAAATTATATTGAAAGCAGAAAATTTATTTAGAATTGAAATTATCAAATAGAGCATCCTGAAATGTGACTTAGTTTTTTGGGATTTGTAAAAGACCGCTTTTTTTTGTGGGATACTTTTTTAAAGGCTTCTCACATTTTTGTGCTTTCATAAAACTTATGCTTTCTTTTTCCCTCGGATCTTCCTGTCTGTCATTGAACCTCGAAGGCGTGATCGCTTCTTTTGAAACAATGTGATACTGTTTAGACTTCAAAAGCAAACAGCCTACATTTTTTCTGGAGAAGGAAACCTCGGGAATTCCGATGCAAACATTTTTTCTTTTATGGTTTGTAAGTCATTCATTATGCAGTCTAAGAATTCATGGCCAGCAAAACAGAGCATTTGTATTGTTCTCAAATTGGCGCTCTTTGTGTTCGATGTCTTCTCATTCAAGTGATATAAGCCCATCTTCGCGTGACATTCAGCACTGCTATACTTTTTACAAAATAATTTGTAGGCAACAAATTCATTTTGTTATTTATTTTGCGTTCTTTGATATACGTTTTTTCATCGTAGTGCATTAGTCGCCTTATCAATGCGGCCCCTCCATCATAGAGGCTTGAAGGAAACTACGGACTGGATGGTGGTAGAAGCAGTTGAACATACTTTCCAGCGGTAATGTG